AGCATGTAGAAATGTAAAACAACATAGAAACAGACCAGGCTGCCAGCTCAAGCTCTCCATGCTTTCCTGTTCACCTACGAGTCCGGCACTTTTCGAAGGATCGAATCGTGAAGGATCGGGCCACGCCCCCGGCCCCCCCCCCCCTCCGTGCCACAAAAGGAATCCAACCCAGCACCGCTTTGCCGAATGCCACTAGACAAATCGCGCATCCAGGCAGGTCATCGCATGGCTAACCAGGATGGGCCACTATTTGGTCTTGTTCTTGTGCAGGGCTTTGGCAACGACGGGGCAAACGAGAAGGAGAGCTCTTGGTTTGGCGGCCAGAGGCTTAGAAAGCGCATGCATGGTAACACTTTCTGAGGGCGCGCTCCTGCGCTCGGCTGAGGCCAAAGCGAGACGAAGGTCGGGACAGAGTAGTGACGAAATGTAGAGAAGAAAGTGGAGAGAGATTGGGGGAGAAAGAGACCTTGGGGGCAATCAGCTGCGGGCCTGCGGGTCTGTAGGCCCTCAGACAAAGCAAAGCAAAACACATGATGAGAGTTCTCACCCCAAGTGTCGAGAGGCCAAGGAGCGAAGGTGTCCTCAGGGCCATCCCCTGCTGCCTTGGTGCGCGAAGTGGGAGCCCTGGAGAGCAGAAATCCGGCTTCCAAGCTTACCACATGGCACATCACGGCAGACTGCATTATACTTGATAATACCCTGATCCTGGGGGAAGGCCTGGCTGGTGCGATGGCTGCGGAGGGAAGATCAAGTCCGGAGATCCTGCCTGGCCCTTTGAGACAGCACGTGGCAGGTATATTATAAGTATGTATACATTATCATATATATATATATATATATGTTCCCTATGTACATGCGATATGTATACAATATGCACGCATGCCGCCTCCTGGCCAGGTCATGGATTGCAGGCAGTGCAACTACTACCTCTGCAGGACATCCCTCCCCAGGGCCACTTCAAGGCACTTCTCAAAATTTTCAAAGCAGGTTCTCTCCGATGTTCCCCAGGGGGCACTTGTGTTCAGCTTTGTTCAGCTTTGGTCTTTCGGAGCTTGGACCAAGCGTGGTGGCCAAGATCAGCACTTGACCTTCTATCGTTCGATCTGCTGTAAACCCACCCCGGAAGGCCTTTCCCGTGTGAGAACATGTGTGTGTGTGTGTGCACACCTGAACAAATTTGGACACTGTAGCGTTTTTTGCAGCTTAAGCCGCTTGCTATTCCTAAACCAAGGCACTTGCCATGTTGGAAGCCTCTTGGTGCAGTCAATGCAATCATCACCGCGTAGCACTGCAATCTCGTGATTTTCTACTTCTTGGCACTGAAACATCTTTGTTGTGAAGATCTGAATATCCGTGATGAATCATGTTCGCTGTGTTTACCGGACCTGCCAGACATGTCAGGGCCCGATGTCAACCGCGCAAAGCTTCGCATCAAGTCAATTCGTAGTCATCGTCCTTGGTCGTCGACGTTGTCTCCGTCGTTTCGCGAAAGTTTCATTTGCTTGCTCGACACTTTTGTTTTTCCGCATCTTGCGTTTTGCAGTGGTTCTATGCGTGTGGTCTCTGGCTCTGCGTACTGGACATGAGACGTTTCGCTCTGGCTTGTTGAGGACCTGCGCACCGGACGAGGCTTGGCACACAGGGTTTGGGTTGCTCTGGATGCACTGGACGCAAGGCCCGAAACACGAATGCATCCAGTCATCGCCCGTGCAATTGTTTATCCTTCGACCTTCAGGGCTTCAGTCTGGAGCATCGCACTTCCTGCTTATGAGCAGAATGTAAACGAAGGTCACTGCTACATGCCAGCTCGAATTAGCGAGAGACGGTACGGGGTGCATTGCAGCGCTGGGCCACACTCAGCTGTGATTTTGTCTTTGGCCTCCTTTGCACAGCAGCGAAGCAGCGAAGGCGGAGTCTGGAACATTATGGGGGTCCATCCCTTCGCTCGCAGACATGGGGTGACTTGACTCAGACTGTCTTTAGGACTCAGAAAAAACTACGGTTTGGAGAGCTTCTTGCTGAAAGCATTCTCTGAAATCAGAGAAGTTTCTCGTTGGGTGGACACAAGTTTCAGAGAAATAAGAATGTCATCACTCGTTGAAAGAAGGAGGATAAAAGAGAGGAAACTCGGCTAACAAACTTCTCTCTTAGAGGAAAAAATCTCCTTTCTTCCTCTTTTTTATCGGCCTCGCTCTGTCTCTCTCTCTCTCTCTCTCTCTCTCTCTCTCTCTCTTTTTCGGGACAGACAGGGCGCGCCTTGCGCGCGGAGGGCGTTCGCGCCCTTCATGCTGGGCCTCTTGCACGGCGAGAAACGGGAGGGGGAAGTTTTCTGACGATCACGATGTTTCGGTATCACGAAGGAGGCAGCATGTCCTTCGGCTCTTTGCGTGCACATGGTATCGAAGCAATATGAAGCAAGTAACCTCCATGCTTCCATATGTGCACCTAGACCTAGATCTCATCAGAGATTATGTAGTGCAAGGATTGACCAAATGTTGGTCCATGCGACTCCATGCGAAATGACCGGAGAATTAGTCGGTGCATACGGATTTTTGCTTTGGCAGGGGTGAGACATCCGCTAGTTCCATCCAAGTTCTGTTGTCATATGTGGTGGGCACGTGAAGCCATTGGGCTCCTGTATGAGGTAAAGTTTCCACATCTGCCATTATCACTGCAAACGAGTTCAATTGGCGGACGGACATCTGCACACGCAGGTTTGACCTAAAATGGCCCCAAGTACGAATCATACATCATCTGTGTTTCGGACATGTTCGTCGCAATCGGTGTGAGGGCCTGATGTTGGGTGTTGGTTTCGATCGGAGGCAAAACTGGTGGCCAACCCTGTGTTGCTGCAATGTACATGGTATGCGCAGCACCTCAGTTGACCGTCGTGGGCAACATTACATGCTTACTGGAGTGCCCCACTATTTGCTTGAGTGTTTCCAACCCTAGGACCCAGCCCCCCTCCCCCTCCCCCCGCGGAATAACTCGTGAAAAACATCTTCCGTTCCTGCTCGTTTAACATTTAGAACTGCGTGTCGCGAGGGAGGGGGCATGAGGGGGCTATGATGCCCCATGAAGTGCTGAACTGCATCCGAATGCGCCCCCTCCGCTCCCAGCCTCCTCAAGAGGCCTCGGAGAAGGCCCTTCCGCCCATGTACTGCACCATCGAATATACAGAATATACACCATATTGCACAGTCCACAAAATTGAGACAGGCGCTGTGCACAACAAGAGCAGGAGTGTGGCGAGCAACGCTTTTGAGAGCTTTGAGTTTCGCCGAGGGCACATCCGGCTGTGAGTAGCGCCTTGGACAACGTTGCGCTCAGCCTCGGCGATGTCTTGGATGCTGCGACACAGGAGACGCGTGTGAATTTTAGTGAGATGCACCTGGCAATGTCGTAGCTTTGATGTGAACGGCCTCCGCTCGACTGAACTGCACCTCTTCCGCGTGTGCTCCGAGTATCTGGCAGTCGCGTGGTTGTTGATTCAATCTGCGGCTTTTGCAAGGTGCATATTGTGTGCCTTGCCCCGTAACTAACACTCAGTGCAGGATCTGAGCGAGATGGCTGGTGACCTGAAATCCTTCGTAGCCTCAGCGGTCGGCCTGGAGGACTCGAGGGACTCGAGGGCAGTCCGAAAGAGAAGAGTCTGAGAAGAGTCTGAGAAGAGTTGCCTGAGCTCAGAAATAGGATGCCCTTCGGATGTGGAACCAGCATCGTAACCTCGGCAATTCCGAATTCGCCAGGAGTCCGACCATGAGGAACAACAGAAAGCGGTGAGCCCAGTTTTCTCGGAGCCCACGCTATCCCGCAGACTACTGTCACCAACGCTGCCAACAGCCCTGTTGCGATTATAAATTTGTTTTGCAGAATGGCGACTGTAATGCTGCAGCGGCTATATTCTAGAACCGGTGGCTACAGATGAACTGCAATGGCACAACGGGCCTGCGCATCTGTTGTCGAATGTGCCGAAGATTGGCTACTGGTAGCATCTCTGGTAGCATCTGGTAGGATCTGGTAGCATCTGTGAAGGTTGTGAACCCAAGGCTGCAGCCAACAGAAAGATCATGGAGGCCGTCTCTCCGCGGTCTAGGCCTGGACCGATGACCGCCGCAAGCACTCCAATGTTACGTACTTCTACATTGGCGAAACCATTCGGCTTGGAAGCATTCGTTCACGTACGACAATTGAGATGGCCTAGGGCATAGGACTTGCACAGGAGTTCCTGCCGAGGGCTTGTGGCTTGCTGCTGCTGCGGTCTGGCGTTGAGCGACTCTGCCAGGTACATGCGTGCGCAATTGCGAGCATAGGCTTGTCAATGCTTGTCGTGAGATAGTTGCCCCACCTTTCGAAAGTCGGGGTGCTGTTTCTTCTTTAGTTTTCACGGCGCGCTCAAAAGTAGGAGCACTTCTTTTTTTGAGCTCGTCTGCTTCTACGTCACAGAGTCGAAGCATGTGCATCTGTCGCATGATTTCGTGGGCCTTCGGCAGCGTCAGCATCTTTCAGCTTGTTTCGACACATTTTCACGTATCAATGATATCAGGCAGGAGGCCACCAGCGCCATCTCCGACTTCTGCCAAAGGTATCCCGCCGCACGGGCCAGAACCCGAGAGAGCACGTGGAGTGTGAAGAGCATGTGCCTAGTCATGTAGACGTGGAGATGATACCTCCTGTACCTCCCGAAACCTTTAGACTCTACTTTAGACATCTGTACACTCACGGTTCTTCTTTGTTGGGGCGCTGTTTTGCCCAGGTGCGGCCCACCACGCAGGAGCTGGAGAAGCTTTGGGCTGCCATCAGCAGCCTGAAACCCATCGCGTTGAACAGCCCCTTGGGCCGATTGTCAAAAGATGTTGCTGTGCTGCTACTGCCGGTTACTGCTATCATACTGTCACATTGGGCCATTTTTCTCCACGGAGATTCTACAGGCAGGCGTGACAAGTGGGAAGGTGAGTTCAGAGAGACAGAAACAGCGCGGTTTGTAAAGGCGTGCGCCAATGCCAGGCGCTTTCTACGACGAGCTCAGTTTCACCAACGGCCTTACACCCGTTGGCGTTGGCGTTCGACCTTCTGCAGCTCCCGTCGCTGTCACGTCGCCTTTGTCACGGCCGAGGTGACACCTCATGGCAGCCTCGCCTGAGAGCAGCAAGCTGAGTCCCAGCCAAGCTCTTCGGATATGGGAGTATGAGTAGTGGCTGAGGTGCTCTATGCCTTGGAGTACTTGTTCCGGAAAGATGGCATGGGGAAGGATGGCATCGATCAGTCCTGCCCATTCGGTGCTTTGTGGTCGCCCGGCCAGGAGGTAGCGCTGAGCGTCTTCCACCAGGCGCGAAGTCTCGTCCTACACCTCACCGAGGCCGGACGGAGTCACGTCGAGAATCCAGAAATTCGTGCAGCAAACTTAACAGAGTAGCAGAGGACCTTTCTGCTTGAGAGTCCTGCGCACAAGCGCTCCAGCCATGTCTGTTCCTGCACGACCTCGGCGGAGGTGCAGCAGTGCGCTGAAAAGGCTCAGGAGGCAAGCTGGGAAGGGGTTGAATTCGGCTGAATTCGGCTGAATGTTCTGAATGGTTGGGGCGCCGGATGAAACTCCCACGAACCCGCCACCAAAACCATCTCGGAAGCTCCAGGTCATCAAGCTCCTCAGCAGCCGGAAGCAGGTCTGGGCTTTCTCACAAGTCAGGGTGCCACAGTCAGGGCAAAGAGTAGTTAGGATGTTCCAGATGGGTCGAGGCAGGGTTGCATGTCCGAACGTATGAGTAGGAACTCTGCAAAGGGGACGTTGCAACCCTGCCGGCCAGGCCGATCATTGGTACGGGTCGAGGTCTAGGGGGAAATGCGGAAAGGCCCAAAATCATGGCTGTCGAACCGTGATGGTAAAGTGTCGGGTTTGATGAAGTGGTGGTACCGGGCCAAACAGGCAGTTCTTGCGGGGGAGTCACCGGGTGGTGGAAAGTTGCTGGAAACTCGGGCAACCGGTGTGGGTAAGTGTGTGCGAGAGTGTGTGTGTGTGTGTGTGTGTGTGTGTGTGTGTGTGTGTGTGTGTGTGTGTGTGTGTGTGTGTGTGTGTGTGTGTGTGTGTGTGTGTGTGTGGGTTGTGTGGGTGTGTGGGTGTGTGGGTGTGTGGGTGTGTGGGTGTGGGGGTGCGTGCGTGCGTGCGTGCGTGCGTGCGTGCGTGCGTGCGTGCGTGCGTGCGTGCGTGCGTGCGTGCGTGCGTGCGTGCGTGCGTGCGTGCGTGTGTGTGCGTGTGCGCACACATGCGCATTTTTTCGCAGCCTTCTCGCTGAAGCTTTGCATCAGTCCCTCTCTGATATTCGTTCCCAGGACAAAGCCGCAGAGGCCAAGGCCGATGCCAAGGCATGGATTCTGCCTTCTTTTGACTTCTTTTGACTGCTTTTGACTGCTCGTGTTTTTTGCGTGCTGCTGCTTCTATGGACAGTGGTCTTGCTCGTCATTGGTGCATGTTGTGGGTCCAAAACTGGAGTTTCGAGCTGATTCATGATTTTCGGGCAAAGAGGAATAGAATTGTTGGAGCTTTGGAAGCTTGAGGTTTGGGCTTGCGCTGTTGTTTTTGGGCTTGCCGAAATTTCTTTTCTGAGGCTACATGCTTCGGATTTTTTAAGCTTCAAGTTTGGGGCTTGCACGGTACTGGGGGTTGCTCAAATGAAGTTTTCAAGACGAAAATAGTATATGTTTTGGAGATTTTTAAGACGGATATTGGGGGCTTGCTTGCACTGCTGTCAGAAGCTTCTTTTGAAGAATACATGTTATTCATTTTTTCAAGGGTTTAGGGAAGAGGTTTTGGGGTTTTGGGCTTGCGCTGTGCGAAGAAGTTAGGGTAAGCGGACTGGGAAAAAGGTTTGGGGTGCACTGGTGGGGACAAACAACATGAACGTTGTTATTCCCCCCTCCCCCACACATACAAAAGAACACACGAAGTCGAAATGGCAAAAGCACGAAAAAAGACCGAAACCATAAAATTCCAACAAAACAGTCCGAAAGCGAAAATGAAACTGTGAAATGTGCAAAAACCCAAGGAATCAGACCCATAGAGTAGAGAAATGATTGCAGCAGTGTAAAATGCAGTCCAAAATCGCGTGCAAGAGACAGTGGAGGAACTGTCGCAAATACCGAGGTAAAACACCTCAAAATGCAAGATTTGCTGCGGCCAAACCCGCGCCGCATTCCGGCTGCGAAACGGGCCAGGTCCAGGTGCAAGAGACACTCGACGTGATTGAGCTGTCTGCATCCATGGGCCATCCAGGTTTAGGGCCGCCTGCCGGCTTCTAATGATGGTGGAAACATGTGGAAACGGATTTGACAAGCTTGATTCTGATGCAGCGGCATCCGTGCATCCCCATGGTTCAGCAGGGCACGGATGCTTGGGAGGACTCGACGGCAAAGGTTCTGTTGATCCGATAGAGTCCCGGCCCACACCCGCCCGCCTGCACGCACACATGCCCACACGCCCACACGCCCGCAGACACGCAGACCGAGCCTCCATGGCCTGTGAAGAGGACTCCAGGACTTGTGCTCTCGGGCGGCGGTTATAGTCGGCGAAGCTGTGCTGCGACAAACGGATGGTGTACTCTGTCTGTACTCTGTCTGTACTCTGTCTGTACTCTGTGATGACACGACTGCCACCTCGCTGCCTCCACCACTCGCCAGAATGCGGCAAAATGCGGCAAGGCTGTGTTGCCGTACTTTAGTTCAAGCGAGCTCTCTTTCTCTTCAATCAGTTGAGCTTGTGTCTTGTAGGTGCGTGGTGCCGCGCCCGTTCTGTTGCACGACCTTTTGTCACTGACAAGAGGAAAAAGAGAGCCTGCACGCGGCTCCGTGAGGATAAGCTTGAGGAAGTCGATAAAGTAGAGGTACACGAGGAAAGAAAGAACCTGCATTTTGGATAGGTTCCTCTTGGCTGCTTAAGGATGATGCCGATCTTGCCGCCGGCAGGGTCATTGAAACGAGTTGCTGTTGGTCGGATGCCAGCTAAAAAATCGGAGTGCAAGATGTGCGACATTTTCCGAAGCTTCTCTCTCTCTCTCTCTGTGTTTCTGCGCTCTACCAGCAGTAATTTGAATGATGATCTGCAACTGTGTCGGTTTGGGCTTGACAACTCACTCCTCTTCCTTTCCGCATGCAGGCAAAGCCGCCCGCCCCGACGCCGCCAAAGGAAGCCCCGGACCTGCTCGACATGTCGGCACCAGGTCGTGCTAAGCAAAGTCATTGCTGTCATTGTTCTGTCATTGTTCTGTCATTGTTCTGTCATTGCTGAGTACATCATTGTGATCTTTTGTGTAGCCAGTCGCGGCCACGGCCCCTGCGGTGGCCTCCCCAGCTGCGAGCTTGGCAACGGTGGATCTCCTGGGCGAACCAACAGTGACCTCGGTGACACCAGTTCCAGCGACGCCATCGCCGGCCCCAAGCATCCAAAACCTGCCCGCGCCGGCTGCTCCCCACGAAAAGCTTGCGAGCTCGGGATGCGGGGGTGCGCTGGCGCCCTCCGAAGCGTTAGCCCTTGCTTTGTCCTCGGCGCCCATGGCGGCCACCGCAACGTTGCCACAGGCCGGGCCCAGACTCGAGACTCGGAGAGATGAGAAAATGTATGTTTGACCTCTTCCACATCATGCAAAGAGACACGCCAGTCACGCTAGTCTCCGAGAGCAGACTCGGAGACCACATACTGTAAGGTTCTGCAACATGTGGCCATCCTTCATTCCATACTCGTTTCGCTGCGTACGACAGGGAAGGTTTTAAGAGCAACGAGAGCGCAATAGGCATGCCTTTTTTGCAAGTAAGAAAAGTTTCCATCTTTTCCATTTTTATTCCGCCCTGAGTAATTATTTTGTTGTTCAATAAGTGTAATAATTTGTTTGCCCAGAATAAAGAAATATTCTTCACGCATCAATATATAAATAAATATATATATATATATAGATATGTGATGATCCACTCATCTTGCCTCGGGAAGGGCAGGGGATCCCAGAACTCCAGACTCCAGATTTCCAGAGTGAATCTGGAGTACCTCGACTCCTCTGGAGTCCGTAATCTGGAGTCTGGAGTCCGGGACCGAGTACTCCAGACTCTGGAAATCTGGAGTCTGGAGTCCAGGGCCACTCCGTATGCGGAATCCCAAGGATAGAATATTACTGTCTAAGGGGATAAAGGTATAGATCTCTTATTCTTTACAACAACATCAACATACAAGAGAATACATTTGGTCAAGCGCCTTGGCTAAAACCCTAAACCATACAAATCCTAAACTTTAAAATCCAAACCCTAAGCTTCTGAAACCTTGACGGGATTTTGGTTTGAGGTTTAGAGTTTAGTAGGGCTTGAGGTTCCGGATGTAATCGTTTAGGATTTGGGGTTTACGGTTTAGGGTTTCGAGTGTAGGGTTTAGTGTTTAATGCTTAGGGTTTAGTGTTTAGTCTGTACTCCCAACTGCTAAAGTCGTTGCGTTTCTTACATGTGACCAGCAGACATTGCGGGAGAGCGTTTCGGGGGGTCGTTGCGTTTGGGGTGTCTACATGGGGATTCACATGAGAAGTCCTTGCTAGTTTGCTGTAAACAAGAGCGGGAAAGGATTATAGGAAAGTCGTGCCTATTCGTAAATAGTTATCATGACAGAATAACAGAAAGGACAGGACGCCATCAAAGTACACTCGCAGGTATCGTCCTTATACAAAAAGTCAATTGTGACAACAGATAACAAAAACGACAAAATCAGACCCAAAGAAAATACAGAAGATTTTAATGAATATGTGGAAGAAAATACATGAATCAAGAAAATTACAACATTTAAAGTAAATGAATCAATTATTGGAATATTTGGGATTTGAACGAGATACATCAAAATATACAGATATCTTGAGCAGTTTTCGACAACATATTATTGCAAATCAGATGACAGTATTTACAATCATAAAATGATAAATAAAAAATGATTTGTAGATTTCAATAAGATTGTTGTTTTAAAGTTAGAAAAGTGCAGTATTGTTGGACAACTTCTTGACATATATATATACAGAAAATGATTTTTTGCCAAATTTATTTTTACCAAGTTTCTATGCAAAATAATTTCGCCGTGCACTTATTGAAAAATATTCTTCCTCGTCAAATTAGTTGTTGATACTTGTTTTTGTTGATACTTGTCTAAAAGATATGTCTTTCTTCTTGCCCAAATGCATGATAACACTTATTGAAAAATAGACAGTATCCAGGGCGGCACAAAGAATGGAGAAGATGGAAAGCCTTCTGTTTTTCTTTGAGAAGTATTCGGCAGAGCGAGAGCGAGGAGCCAGCGAGTCAAAGAGCGCATTCTTTTCTCCTCTCTTCCCTCAGAGGACCTGGACCTCCTGGCACCGGCTTCGCCGCCCAAAGGAAGGTGCATGCATGTCTCTTCCAGGGTAGTTAGGGTGTACCAAAAATCAACGGCAAGGCCCTTCCTAAGGCTCCCATACTTAAGGCCCAAAAAAACAGACACAATTGGCCCTTTGAACCAGTCAATGCCAAGTGCTCTGTTTCATGAATTTTGTGTCTTCTTCGGCTCCGTTGCCTTCCAACGAGGCCTTCGTCTGGCGAAGTTGGCAATCTCTTTGCCACAGCGTCCACTTCCTCAGGATTTTGCCTGCTTTTTTGGCTTTTGTGCGAAGACTGAAGGGAGTTGGGCTGGGAGCTTCGACGGGAGGGGTGGCCTACCGCGCGACATTTTCTGAGCAAGAACATGTTTACATCTTCGCCGTGCAGCGTTGTCGTCTTCGCCTTGCAGCTCTAGTGTGATCGTTGAACCGTGCTTGGAGGTTGGAGCATAGATGACAGTTGAAAACTATGTGGGGCGTGGGGGGGGCCGGGGGGCGGGGTGGGGGGGACCCTGGTTCTTGCAAAGGTGGGCTGCAAACATGGGAGGTGCGGTCCAGTCCTACTTGCCTGTCTCGAAGCTGAATCGTCGGACTTCTCTAACGCTCGAACTTCCCATCTTCTGCCTTTGATGTTTGATGGCCCGCTTCTCTTCATCTTTTCTTTTGTTTCTGTCTCTGCAAGTCGTGTCTTTGCGGCTGCGCCAGTCCGCTCCGAGCAAAGGACTTCGAGAGTTTCAGAATGCTCCGCACAGGATGGAAAGGGCTTCGCCAGAAAGGGCTACCTGTGGCCCCTCGTTCTCCATAACCCTCTGCTAGATCGGTTCTGATTGGTTAGATTGCAGGAATTCAGCCGCGACAGCAGTCCCGTGCATGTATTTTGTGTTCCCTGTGCGTCGCCCTCATAAGTAGGGAAGGCATCCGCCTACTTCTTGCCAGGTTTTCGCGCCACCCTCAAAAGTAGGAAGCTTTTCTTGGGCAGCTTTGCATGTGTGAGATCGCAGCTGTTTGAGGCAGGCGGAGAATGTGTAGGTTGTCGGTTAGTTCCAAGGCCCCAATCTGTGTTTATTGTGTAGATTCGCAATTGCCTGTGTATTGACAAATTGATGAAACGAAATGTTGTAGGCGACATGCACTCATGAACAAGAGGGACGTTTTAAAGGGAACGCGTGTGCTCCGATTTACTCCAACTCGGCTTCAACTCAGCTTCAGCAGCAGCGAAACAAAAAGAACTGGGCTGCTTGCCAGGCTTGCCCAGGCTTGCCCAGGCTTCATGCCGAGCCTGATCACAAAGTTCACAAAGTCACGAACACTCAGATTGTCCCTGCAGGAGGAGGCATAGCGGCGATGGGCGGTATGGCTGGTCTAGCAGCCCCTGATGTGAAGGTGATGGCAAAGGCAAAGCGGACAATCCAAATGCAGTTGTTAACAACGAAAGCAGGGTCGCTACCTGCACTTCCACAACCAGGCACAAGCTCCGCCACCAGCTCCTTTTGGCAGAGCTCATTACCTCGGCGGCCCCCCTATCGGTGGCTGGTGTCCGAGCTTCTGGATTCTGACCCCATCCACTTCTTGCGTTTTTGTGTGATTCACGTGGTCTGCATGGTCTGCTTGAGGCAAGTTGGGCAACCCTTACATGTGGGCTGGCTCAGACGAACAGACGAGTAAAGGCACAGAGGCCCCAGAAATGCAGTACTGAGAGCCCCGGACTGAGGCCCATCCCATCAACGATTGACCTTCCATCCCAGCTCTGGACTCAGTTCTTTGCCGGAATGGTCAGAACGTTCTAGTCTGGAACTTAAGCTCGACGAGGGCTGAAACGGGTCAGCGGTGATGGGAGCTTTGTTCAAGACATGCCTCGGAATGCCTCGCCTCTTGAGCTTCAGCCATGAAGCTGCAAAATGCGCACAGGATTCAGTACAGCTGCTGAAATTATTCTTTTCAGGCGTAAGAGCGCTGATGTTCAGGAAGATCTGGAGAGAGTGAACCTACGAGAGCTTGCTAAAACAAGGCCTCCAGTGGACCAGTTTGCCTTCGTTTCTGACATCACGGGCATCGGTGACCTGGCTAAGCCGGCAAAGTCTGGGACCCGGGTTTTTGCTCCCTGCAACTCAGGCCCTGCAAGCCATTTCGGCCCATTGAATTGTGCAGACTTCGCCATGAGGGTACCTTCTATAGAACCAGCTGCCGATAAAGCTGCAGACTTTCAGAGATCTCAGATCCGAACTCCCGCACTTCACATCCTTCACAATCATTCACAGTCCATGAGAGTCCACATGGCAATCAATGCTCACTCAAGTTACTCAAGTGTTCTCTCCCCACTGGGATCCTCTGCGCCAATGTGAGGCAGCTCCTTCAGAGCGCTCTCTCTCTCTTTCTCTTTCTCTCTCTCTCTCTCTTTTGAATCTCTTTCTCTCTCTCTCTCTCTCTGTCTCTCTTGTTGTTTTAATCTCTTTCTCTCTTGGTGCGACCATTTCGAGAGATGCACCCTCGCAAAGCAATGAACGTGTATTCTGTATCAAGATGGCCGATAGCCGCAAGAGCACACAACGAACCATGCCAAGCTAGGAAGACTTGTGGCTTGCCGTGGAAGAATCGTCGCTGGTAGACAGGTTGGGCCTGTCACTTCAGGACTCGTGATTCTGTTGGGGTCGTTTGCTGAACAGATGTCTAAGAATGTCTGAGATACTCACAGAAGGAGAAAGCAACCACCCATTGTTTGACCACGCAGCACTGGACCAAGTGTGCATGTATGTGCATGCCCGCTCCGAGGTAGCACCACGTAAACAACGCGAATCGAGTGCGAATCGAGGCCAGAAAGAAATCCCAAGAGTGCTGTGCTTGGTGTGCTTGGTGTGCTTGGTGTGCTTTGGTCGGTTTGCATATGAGCACTGGCCTGCCAGAAGATCTCTCCGTCCTGGCTGCCTCCCCTCCCTCCCTGGCATTGTTCAGCGTGTTCGCATGGGTTACAACGATATACAACCGAGAACGCAGCGAGCATTCATTCCACCTCCATCACGATCGCAGATGTTCCAGTATGCCACAGGCAGTTGACTTAGAAAGACTGTCCGAAGCATCTTTTCTGGACCGCTAAGTCCCTCGGCAGGGCTTGCAAAGCAAATCCTTCCAATTAAACAGCTGGGGACCGCAGCTGATCACACCTCATCACACTGACGACTCATCACCCGTACAGCTTCCCGTCATATCAAGCTTCTGAAAAAGACTCATACCCTTGCCGCGGCTGGCCATGGTGGGAATCGGCAACATGGAGATCCACAAAACTTGCTTCCTTGACGAGCTGCTGTGTGGAGCCCAGCTGGGCCTAACAAGCGCGTATTGAGTTGCAAGCGCAACCCTGATGAGCCGAAAGCAGTGGGACTTGTGGGAGGCCCCCACCAGTTCTGGGAGGCGGCGCTCGCCTGGTGCTCGTCCGTGTGCGGTCCATGTGACGTCCGTGTGCACCCCATCAATCGGAAGCTGTCTTCTTGTCAGTTGGGCTGCCCCAGGCCCGGTAATGTGCTACCCAGACCCGCACTCCCTTGCGGGGCCCAACGGTGGCATCCCCTTCCGCTCGGGCCACAGGAAACCCAGGCGAATATACATCCAGATGCGGACAGATTCCATCATATTCTTGCTCCATTGTGCATCGAGGATGCTATGGCATGGCCAGGGGCAAAGGCTTCAAGGAGACATAATAAGGAGATACAGAACTGTACAGGCCACATCGCCTTTGGTCGCTTTGGTTGCAGTGCGCCGAGGCCATGCTGCAGGACTCTGCTGAGGCTGTCCGAGGCCGACAGAGAGAGGGAGAGAGAGGGAGAGAGAGGGAGACAGGGAGGGATCCAGGGAAGGAGAGCGGGACAGAGAGAGAGAGAGAGAGAGCGAGAGAGAGAGAGAAAGAAAAGAGAGCGAGAGAGAGAGGATGTGAAGCAAATAATGCCGGGGGAACTGAGGTTCGCAGTACTCTGTACACTAGGGGGAACCCTTTCTTGGATCCTTAATGCCAGATGTTTCCCCAGCTTCAGTACGTGTCACGCCGACTGGAGACGGACTTTCTGGGCGCGCCTCGCGCGCGGGGGTTCAAGGACTTCTGCCCTGTCCCTCATGCCCCGTAGACGAAGAAGAAGAGAGAGAGGATGGACAATTCTAGACAGAGAAGAAGAGGCTCTCTCCAGGCCTCAACCTGCCTCGGGTCACGCGCCCTTCACCCTTCGACGCGGATCCGCTGCAAGGCCCGAGAAGCAACAGCTCTTGCGACTCTTAGACTCTGAGAGAATTTTTGGAGGTAGAAGTTGACTTGACTCTACTTTAAGTATCTTTTGGTTCGCGGAGAGGAGTGAATGTAGGAGCATGGAGGGCATGGACTTGTCTACACGAGTTTTCAAAGTCTGCCCTCGCTTAGAGGTGCGGTGCCGGGCTTTGCCTTCGCCATCTTTGCTCCCAGCTGGGGCACAAGGGCTCCGGCACTGTTGGAGACTTCGTGGCGACGAAGCGCGAGGTGACACTCGAAAGACACCACGCGAGATGTCACAAGATTCGTTTTGTCTCTCTCTTCATGTTTTGTGTTGCTATTTTGTGGGTTCGATTGCGTTCCTCTCGCTGAGCTCTGCCGCCCTTGCAGGATGGATTTCCTCTGAGAGCCGTTCGCACGCCGAGTGGCCATCCGTGGAGCCAGAGAAAAGCGAAGACGGGCACCTTACGGGTACCGCACGGGTACCGTACGGTTCCCGTGATTGCCAAGCTGCTCTGGTAAAATGGCAGGGATACCCTGAGTGCGTTATCCACCTCTGGCATGGTTTCAGTCCACTCTTGACCTATGAGGCTATAGTTACTGAATGTACTGTCCCAAAATAGGACACTCACATCGGTTTCTCGAAACGGTAATCTGCACAATCTGCCCAACCGCATCGTTTCCGCATCAGTATTTAGTAATCTCATGTAATCTCCTAATCATGGTTCAACGGTTCCCTTCGTTGGAACATGCGGTCCGCTGAGTCCACACTTCGACAAGATCGGAACCCTCACTTGAACTCTCGCTAGGCTATGCTAGGCTGGCTTCGTACGGTGCTTCCTGGCTCAAGAAGACAAACATACGTATACTGTAAACTGCAACCCTAGAGGCGGCACGATGTTGCACAGAATGGAAATCTTCCAAACGACATCGAAAACCATGATCGCTTCGGGAATAGCCGCAGCATCGATGACAGGATGGCGGTTTATGGTGCCACATTGTGCTACACAACGCCCTCCGCTCGACTTTGCTGGCAGTGGTTTCCGAGTTGTCTTCTGCAGCCGTAGGCGAACCCAGCAGTCGCGTCCTAGCTCTGCGCGTCTTTTCTTGGGACCTCGGGGGCTATAGCTAGCCATAGGCCTTAGGCCAAACAACATCAGTGTCTTCATCGCTCCGGCACCCCCCAAGGCTTGGCAGTTCGGAAGTTCGGGCGTGCATGCCTCTGAGCTCCACGCTCACTCGACGCCCTAGCCGCCTCACCTTGTAGATGCTTCGTAGGCACAGTTGTTTGGCCGACATACAATGGAATTCATTCGATGGTTTTTGCTTTTTTTCCTGGTTTCTACGCTTTTTTGGAGACCGGATATGCTCCAAAGACAGCTTGTGGGCTCCAGCTTCGAATCAAATCACACAAAATCAAAAGAGCCCGAGGCTGCCCAGTGGCTGCCCTGCCAGAAGTCAAAGAGCGGACAAGTCAGTGGAAGAGCGCCGAAGACCTTCATGCGTTCAACTTTCAAGATCTTCCCTCTCGCAAGTCAAGAACAGGAGCATGGCTAAGGGGTGATGCAAAGCTGGGGTGGGTCCGTCCAGCGTTTGAGATACCACAGCCGCAACGGCAGAGGCAGACGAGGCGATCAGCTAGATGTTTTTGGTAACAAATATGAGGCGTGGAAGAAGGCTTGAGCTGTGCCCGATGAGGACATGAAAGGAGAGAGTACGGTACGGCAGCTAGGCGACTCGCATCATCAGCCCAAAAACCCGCACCTGGGGAAGTAGATGCCTTCACGCCGGAATCTGACAAAGGGGGAGGACAACGGCAAAGACCTTAAGGGTGCAGGCGAGGGTTTAGCCGAAACGGCTATGAGACAAGGGAACAGGGAAGGCAGGGAAGGCAGGGAAGGCAGGGTCAGAGATGTTAGAGGAGCGTTGAGGAGAATAAAGAAGACCGGGTGCTCGTGTACTTGCTCACGAGGACTCGCAAAGGTGTGACGACCGAACAACGCTGATCGGGGAAATTTGTGCCAACCGTAGATGAAGAAACAATGTGACCTCCAGGTGAAGATGCCAAAAATGCATAAGGCAGCATGGTGGGATATGGTGGGACTGGAGCAGTTTGGATCATTATCACCAATGGTCCGATGGTCCGTACAAAGCAGGCCAAGAGTGCACTACAGTACGCGTTCTGGAAACAAATCCAACGTAATCGCCCTTGCCTGCAGGAACGAGCGACAGATCGAGGAACCAACGCTCGAGAAACACCTGAGCCGCGTTGCTTTGGGTTGCGTTCCGGTGTACACGCGTTGCGGACAGTCGAGCTTCGTCTGGGAAAACCAAAGGCGAAGGCAAGAGCAAGCCGTTGTTGCGACCCTGGCAGGCAAACATACAAGACAAGACTGAAAATAGCTCCGCGGAAGGGTCCGCGCAAGTGAGTCCCCTCGCGATGGTAAAAAGTCGGGCGGAAGCTGATTTTTCCAGAGGGTTTTACAAGGAAATATACACCACCCCTCGAGGACACTCGGGTTTCATGGCTTGCCCAGAGTTCAGTGGACACAAGCAAATTTTCATTCCGTTAGTAGATATTGCCAAACCCATCAATTCGCGTGTGCTTTCATGTGGGTTTTTGTTTTTGTCTGCTTGCAGAAGCGCTTTGTGCAAAAGTCTTTTGTGAAAGGAATCTCGCTCTCCGCAGCAAATGTCTGCTCATGACAGCATCATCCCGGAAAGTCCCATCCTGGAGAACCTACAGGATGGCCGCCCTTCGGCCTCAGAGACCTTTCTTACCTTTCTTACCTTTTCTTACCTTTCTTACCTTTTCTTACCTTTTCTTGCTTTCTTTCCTTGAAGTTTCAGGCTGTGTTTGTGCTTTTGTGTCTGCGTGTTTGTGTTGCTTGGTTGTGTTGAAGTCCCGAGGCGAAACCTCCAAGTGCATGTCTCCAGGAATGAGCCTCAGCTGTCGCATCTCTGCCGCCTCCCAGCCAAAAGCGTCTGCCAGGCCAAGCAAGAGACAAACCATCCTTGAAGATTTGGCTTGCAAGCCGATTGCACGACGTCGACACCTCAACGCCGAAGTGTCGAAGCATATGGTTTCAAATGGTTTCTTCGCTTTGCCGTGGCCCAGATCGAGCAAGAAGGAGATCGCGCCACAGGGTGCCCACTATGGCCACACTGACACCGCTTAAGCTTAGAGCAGATTGCATGAGGGTGCATCACTCTTTGCAGAGTCCTAGCTGAGCCTAGCTGCTCAAGGATCTTCCGACGACCGCCGCATGCTTGCCACTCGAGCGTCTGCTCTTTCCTCTTCCTCATGATGGCGTACAGTCTGTTCCTCCATGGCTCGGCTACGAGCTGAGAAGTTCACTCATGTCACAGCGATAGACAATGATTAGCCCATGCAATGTGTCACACGCTCGCTGAGTCGAGGCTGTACGGGAAGTGAGCCTCGACTATGGCCCTGGTGATCTTTGGAAGGAGGGCGCTCTTCCGTTCTCTGATTGTACAAGTGCTGCAGGAACTTAGAGCAACAAAGTAACAAAGAGAGTCAAAGAGGAGTCCACTTAGTCCACTTCATGTCTGCAGGAGCTGGTGGTGGATGACAGCCTTGCAGGGGTCTCCCTTATCTCGCCAGCGCCACATTCGCCGCAATCTGTGATCGAAGTTGTATTGCAAGGGCCGATTCCGAAGGTACGAGCTCTTGAGCTTCAGTGCCAACAATCGGCATTACCTGGTTCGGATCCCAAGAGTAAGCCTTGACATGAAGGGGGGGGGGCTCATGGGGACCTGTGGAGTGATTCAGAGCGGAAGGCAGACCGAGTGCTTTGCACTTTACACGTGGTAACGGAAAAATTTGCCGGAATGAACTCGTAGTGCGCTTACAATACTCTTGCAATGCAAGCAAACGAGGAGAGTCGGCCTCCGGCCTTCAACAAGCTCATGGCGCAGTACAGCTGCACCGGCATCACCCAGGCTCGGCACAGCGCGGGTGGACGAGTTGCGTGACGTGTTGCGGCGTTGCGTTTGCTATTGCCTGACTTGTGACTTGAGTTTTTTTGCTTCAACTACTCTGCACGACATCTCACGATGATCGCACGGTCAGAGCACGAGAGGGCGAAAGCGAGAAGAGGAAGAAGCCAAGGGCTTTTGGGGAGCACGGCTGCTACGAACCTACTAGAAACCTGGGGTGACTGTTCCTTTGCACGGAACACTGGGATGCGCTGCGCACGGCTCCCTGAGACCTAAGCCCCTCGGAAGAAAAAGAGGGATTCCAATCCATGTACACTCAGAGAACCGCCCCCCGCAAAGTCTGGGGGAAGGCCCAGAATTCGGGGTGGTCGACACGAATTGATGCCAAATGGATGCCCAAACGTGGGCTTCCGCAAGTACTGGTGCGGTGTGCTATTGACTCTGGCTCAGACTCTGGCGTGATCCCCCATTCTGCAAGAAATGGACGAGGGTATCAACAGGTGGGTTTTGGTTGAAATTCCGCTATGATTCGGCAGACTGTTTTTTCTGCCCCACAGAAAGCCTGTCTTCTAACATTGTTCTCTCTCGGATTCACAGGTCGTGCTTGTCGAGCGAGGGGGGAATGTTCAAAGTGCATTGTTTTCCTGGCTCGGTTTCAGCCGGGCTGCTGCAAACATGCCCGGCCTTAGGAGCATATTGGTCGGCTCTTGTTTGGCTCTGAAGTAGACGGGTCGGGTCTCCACTTGTGGCTCCAAGGTTAATTGTGCACAAAAGCGGAGGCTAAACATATGATTCCATGTATGACTCCCTCCCTTTGTTCACAGCAGTGTTAAACAGAGTGAAGACCCTTGCAACTTGTCGAGTCGGCAGCACTTCAGTGAAAGAAGGACTTGCTGGGATTCCGCCCAGTGTCTTTTTCAGAATCCAGAGGACACCAGACTACAGGGCCGTGGTTTGCCAATGACTTGCCAGGTGTCCGAGGTCTTGCGAAGGCGATCTCCAGACCCTGGCTTTCATCAACTCCTGGAAGGACACCACGGAGTTTGAAGATGCCTGTGTCAAGCGCTTTGTCGACCATTTGACAGAATTTGACACTTCCCTTGAGAGGCTTAGATCAATTTCGCCCATGTGGGTCGGTGGCTCATGATGGCTGTGGTCTTAGAGTCGGAGAGTTGTGGTTCTCGTGGTTTCCTGCGAGGCTCGTGTCCATGTCCGTCTTCACGGACCAGTTCAGGCTGCGAGTGGTACAGATGAAAACATATGGGCACCACGCAGAGTATCGGGGCAAAATGGGCAAAATGTGAAATCATTTGGGTGCTCTGCTCGGAGGCTGGAGAGCTTGGAAAATCCGGCAGCTTCTGTGGAAGTGGACGAGACGGACCTTGCCCTGCCGTTCGACTCGGACCCCGCTCTTGCTTTGGTGTCCGTTTCATCGCTTCATCGGCTTTCACCGATGTCTCGACTGGATGGAGATCATGGGACCGGGGGAAGAGGGAAACTTGGCAGGCCTGTCGGGGCTGTGTCAGGAACTTTACTCCTGGATTCACAAAGACGCCAACAGCGATCGCTTCCAGGCGAACCCATCAGAGCCGGAACTGTCGTGCCGCGGAGTTGCAGATTGAGAGGTCATCATGTGACACCATCGGCATCTTTGGGCAAAGCTTGGATTGCTTGCCAGGTGGAAGGCGTCGACAGTTGGATCCCAGGAACCTTGTCTGCATCTGTCTGCATCTGTGTACCATTGCTCTTTGCTTTCGCCGCCTCACCCAGACGGCACTTTCCTAGAGCACCTCAAAGTCTGGTACCGGACTCCGGCGGGAGCCCTGACTACTCTCCAAGTGTGCGTTGCGGCATTGTGTCGAACCAGTGTGTGACCTCACTTGCTTTGCCGCGTCAGATTTGCAACCTTTCTCGGATCTGACAGAACTCTGACAGAGAGGTAGGGAGGGAGGGACAGTAGAAACATTACGTGCAGCTCCTCGCACACACGGACGAACTCGGTCAGACATGTCACACGCGCCCCTTGGGGCCCCCTTTTAGGGGGCGGATGACAGGGTCGACGATCATTGACTGTCAGGTGCTTCCATCGAGAAGCCTTGAAAGCGCAAACTTGGCCCTTTGAATTGATGAGGTCGCGCCCCGTGTACGGCATCTTTGGGGGCGAATCCCTGGCGGGCCCTCGACTGAGGACCTTATTCAGATCGCAGTTGCTTTGCCTTTGGTCCTCAAGGCGTCCGCATGCTCAAGCTTCTTAGTCCAACTTCGTCGCGCTCCGTTGGCTAGCTGCCAGCTCACGCACTCACGAACTCACTCACTCACTCCCTCGCTCCCGCTGGCAAACTGTTTTTGAAACTCGGGCTTTATGAGGATCATCTTAAGCCAGAAGAAATGCACTTTAGTGGTTTCTAAGTTCCTCTGGTAGAGTGCAAACCTCTTTTGAACAAATGAATTCCGGTGGCATAAATGTTGCCTGGTCCTGCGACGACGCGGAGCAAGTGGGTGTCTCGAAGACACCGACGCTCCTTGGCATGGAAGCTTTCACCGCGCAGGTGTTACAATGCGCGACTGCTGGCGCGCAGAGCCTTCCAAACCAAGACTCGAAGCGTTTTAACAACTCAGAGCAAGGCCGAGAGCAGAAACGATTTGAACAACAGGACATTTCAAACTTTCACTGCGTTGCAAAGGCTCCCGATTGAGCGTATCAAATTGAAGCAAGACCCTATCATTGCGGTGGCACAGGCATGCATCACCATGTGAGACCCGTCTCCCTTTAGTCTCCTTCCGTCACTGTCTCTCTTTCTCTTTCTCTTTCTCTTTCTCTTTCTCTTTCTCTTTCTCTTTCTCTTTCTCCTTCTCCTCGCTCTCGCTCTCTCTCTCTCTCTCTCTCTCTCTGTTTCCCATCTGCTTGTGCAGCCCACGCTTCCCGGTCCAGCAGAGAGCTTTTTTTCGTCATTCTCTATTCTCGCTGTGCGAGGTTGGCCCCAGGCCGGTACAACTTGAGCTTCCCGGTGAACAGCGGGCTCTGGAAGCAGTCCGGGAGCCCAACAAAAGAAAGAGAGAGCGAAAACTGAGAGCATGCGCTTCACACACAGAGAGAGACATGTCTTCATATGTCTCCTGGCTGCTTCGCTTTTCTTAAAGGTGGGACATCGAGAAGCGCGTGGTGTTTTCGCAGCTGTCGAGCTTTGGGATGGGCAGGTGGAAGCCTCGTCTGTCTTTGCAACGCTCTCTTTTGCCCTCCCCCCCCCCCCCCCCCCCCCCCCCCCCCCCCCCCCCCCCCCCCCCCTCCGCATTTCGCTGCTGAACTCGATGTCCCGTGTGTGGCCCAACTTGAACGCATGTTTTGAGTCCCGGAGCTTGCTTCACGCTGGCGGCTCTCTGCTGCGCCGTGGCGTCGGCCGGGGGCCTGGAACATCCGCACTGAACTCCACGTATCTGCACGTGGCTCAAAGCTTGAGATGTTTGAGGTGGACTTGTTGGTGGCCTTGGCATTGCTCTTTGTGGGGGAGGCCCTCAGTCGCAAGAGGCTCCCCCGAGGTTGCTCTGAGGTTGCCCTGAAGTTGCTCTGATGCGCGTGGCTCCCATTGCTCTTGGCGGCATGCGAACTCCTGCAGGCGCGCAGTTCATCCAGAGTGAGAGTCGGTGAGAGTGCTAAAGTGCTAAATGCAGCACCAATCTTTTCAAAAATTGAAAGCATCGGCAGCCAGCCTCAAGCATTGCAAAGCCAAATCCTGTGGGCAGACTGTAGGAACTTGTCAGACCCCAGCTAGTCCACCGTCAGATACGGAACGCATGGCGGAATCCCGCGAAATCAGGGGGTTCCCCACGTAGTTTGTATCTCACCATCGGTCTGTGACATCGTGTCGTTTCACTGCCCTTGGGAAACCCAAGTTGGCACAGTTCGAGTGCAATTTTCTGAGCCATTGGGGAGTCACAGTATGCCACAGTATCCCACAGTATGCCACAGTATGCCAAGTTACAAATTGCTGCAATTCCTGGATCTTGCTAGGCGCTCTTACCAGGCTAACCCTCTAGCCATGTGTACCCTTGATGCGGCCTATGCCGGAAACTCCCAGGCTCGGGCTTTGAAAGTTGGGCCACGTTGCATCACGCCGAGCCCAAAACAAGGTTGCAAGATGCATCAGAATGCACCTCCACACTGCGCATTCCGGGTTCATGATTTGTGTTGAACTGATGTCAGTGTCCATTCGTGACATTCGTGCTTTGGCTTGACCACTGTGTCATGCTGTCTCCATACCGTTGTTATTGATCGGTTGATCGCTCTCTGCACCTGACACCCTCCAGGAGTCACACGCAGTCGGGAATACAAAAAACGATTCGAAGGCGTTGTAACTGGTGCTTCAGTGAGATCCCGTGAGCGCCACACTGCGTGACACGAAGCCATACGAAGCCATCTCAATCAACCTGCTGGGGGCAGTCCTCTGAAAAAGGAGCTCATTTGCGGAGCTCATGCCTGAATTTCTATGCCTCAACCTTCTCTTTCTTTTTCTTTCTATCTGTCACACGCAACCCAAGTTGCCTCACGATGCATCCATGCTTCCAGTGACCACGAATGGCCAGAGAATGTATGTCCACGATGTGACTACGTCCATGGTGCCAGTGCGCGCGTAAAGCCTGAACTGAACGATGATTTGTACCCAGCAACGCGCAAGTGCAACAGCGATGCGACAATCTTGTGCCCAGGTTCCCAGACGTTTTCAGTTCATTTCTCAGGCCAGGAGCAAACCACCTGGACCCCGACGCCATCCTAGGGCCCTATACTAGGGCAAGCAAAGTCCAAGAAGTCGCACTGGCATGGCGCAGTTGAATTTCAGCAAAGGAAGACTGCCTTCTTCGGTTCGAGTTTGCTTTGGGCTCCGGAGGAATGCGCTGGCATCATGTAGCTTTCCGAAACATAGCTCCGCCCCAGCGCCGCTGAGAACCTCCGTGAAGGTGAAGCCACGTCGTGGCTTTGTTAGCTGAGAAGAGTACCGTGAAGGTGAAGCCAAGTCGTGAGTACAGCAAGAGTTGCGAGCGAGAGAGAGACAGAAAGATAAGTGGAAAGACGGGCAAAGGTGAGATTCTGCGTTTCGTGCTTCTCTGTTTCTTGTCGCCTCATCAGGCGATGGCAACATCGAAGTCGTCGCAGGCTCCCGGGTGGTGGCTGGGGCTTCTTCTGCCCGTCCTTGCCGGCCTGGCGGTGCTCGGTGCTGCGCAGGCGCGGCAGAAAGGCTAAGGGTAGAACGAAGTTGGAAAAGGAGGGGATGATGTTCCTTTAATGTCTTTCGCTCTTTTTTCAGCTGAGACTTCATGGCTCCGTGCCACCGGATGTCGCCGCATTGTGTATGCACGCTCCCATTCCTCTCGAATGCGGAAGTCTTGTGAGGTTGATCACCGCCTGGGCCTCGCGGTGCTCTTCGCCGGCTTCTTTGTGACGCTGGGCTTCGCGTTGAACGTGGACCGGGAGCCCAGGCTCCGCGGAGGAGTCAACATGAACGATGTCGTGTGTTCTCCGTCATGCTCCATCTACTCAGAATCTACTATCCATACATCAGTTGCATTACTTTCGCTTCTCGGGTGCTATGGCAAAAGAGTAGGGTGTCGGATCTGAGTGCCGATAGCAAATGGCCTTGGCACCGTAGGCTGCGCAAGCAAAGGTCCTTGACACGAGGCAAGTTCCAGCGTGGACTGCCGATTGACACTTTCAGCGCCTGCAGTCTCATCACAGCCTTGGTGGGCCAATGGTTACAGGTTAAAAGTGCTGGACATGGGACAAGATCCACAAGGCTACTAAAGACTGAAAAGAGTGGGGTCAGAACATATCAGAACAACTTGCGGAGTGCCGGTTCGCGGCATTGGCACGTCTGGCCAAAAACTATCAGACAATATCAAACAAATATCTGCAGGAGGCGGGTGGAAGAACATGGCAGAATAGCCTGCATGCTTTTTCACATGAGGATGAAGCAGCGCAAATGCCAATGAAGTTGCCCCAACAGCCGTACACTCATGGCTTGGCCCCAGTGGCAAAAGAAAGCTTCAATCGGACTTCGTTTGGGCAGGGATCGTGGAAGTCGCCTTGATCAGGTCTACGCAAATATCAAACGAAGGTGCTTCAAGCGACGCGCGCCAATGGTGATCCCAAGGCAGGTCTGTTATCAACCAGAATGTTTTCGGGTGCACGCTCGTGCCGCATGACGAGCCGAAAAGCTCAGTGCCATGCATAAGCCCTGAGACCAGCAAGACACTTTCCTCAGAAATTCAAGACATGTAGCAAATTGCAACGAAACCTTGCTCAGAAATTCAAGACATGTAGCATTTACAGCGAAACCTTCCTGAGAAATGCAAGCCGAGCAGGAACTGCAACGAAACCTTCTCCAGAAATTCAACACATGTAGCAATTGCAGCGAAACTTCCTCAGAATCTCAAGACCAGTAGCCTTTAAGACTTTACGACAAAACTTTTCTCATAAATTCACTCCGAGTAACAATTGCAACGAAACCTTCCTCAGAAGTTCAAGAGCAGTGGCATTTACAACAAAACCTTCCTCAGAAATCCAAGACGAGTAGCAATCGCAACGAAACCTTCCTCAGAAATTCAAGCCGAGTAACAATCAACAAAACATTCCTCAGAAATTCAAGACATGTCGCAATTGCAACAAAACCTTGCTCAGGAATTCAAGACACGTAGCAATTGCAACGAAACCTTCCTCGGCAATTCAAGACATGTAGCAACTGCAACGAGTCCTTCCTCAGAGGCTCAAGACTAGTAGCATTTGCAGGATCGCAGCAATCGCGACGAAACCTTCCTGGGATCTCAAGACTAGTAGCATTTACAGCGAAGCTTTTCTGAGAAATTTCAGCCGAGTAGCAATTGCAACGAAACCTTCTTCAGAATTGCAACGAAGCCTTGTTCAGAAACTCAAGACTAGTAGCAATTGCAACAAATCCTTCCTCAGAAGCTCTAGACTAGTAGAAAACCTACCTCAGACATTCATTCCGAATAGCAACTGCAGCGAAACCTTCCTCAGAAATTCAATCCGAGTAGCAATTGCAACGAAACCTTTCCCTGACATTCAAGACACGTAGCAATTGCAACGAAGCCTTCCTAAGAAACCCCAGACTAGTAGCATTTACAGCAAGATCTTCCTCATAAATTTGAGTCGAGTGGCAATTGCCTCAGACATTCAAGACATGCAGCCAATTCAACGAGAATTCAAGAGCAGTAGCATTTACAACAAAACCTTCCACACAAATTCAATTCGAGCAGCATTTACAGCGAAACCTTCCTCAGAAGTTCAAGGCACGTAGCAATTGCAACGAAACCTTCCTCAGAAACTCAAGACTAGTAGCATTTACAGCGAAACCTTCCTCAGAAGCTCCAGACGACTACGAAACCTTTCTCAGAAACTCAAGACATGTAGCAATTGCAACTAAACCTTCCTCGGACATTCAGGCCCGGTAGCATTTGCAACGAAGCTTTCCTCAGAAACTCAAGACTAGTAGCATTTGCAGCGAACCTTCCTCAGCATCTCAAGTCTAGTAGCATTTACATTAAAATCTTCCTCTGAAATTCAAGACCTAGTAGCAATTGCAATGAAACCTTCCTCAGAAATTCAAGACGAGTAGCAATTGCAGCGAAACCTTCCTCAGAAACTCAAGACTAGTAGCATTAGCATTCCACAGAAACTCCAGACGAGTAGCAATTGCAACGAAATCTTTCTCAAGAAACTCAAGACATGTAGCAACTGCAACTAAACGTTCCTCAGACATTCAGGCCGGGTAGCAATTGCAACGAAACTTTCCTCAGAAAGTTAAGACGCGTAGCAATTGCAACGAAACCTTCCTCAGAAACTCAAGACTTGAAGCATTTAGAACGAAACCTCCTCAGAAACTCAAGACTAGCAGCATTTAGAGTGAAGCCTTCCTCAGAAGCTCAAGACATGTAGCAATTGCAACTAAACCTTACTCTTAAGTTCATGACATGTAGCAATTGCAACGAAACCTTCGTAAGAAAATCAAGGCTAGTAGTATTCACAGCGAAATCTTCCGCAGAAATTTAAGCCGAGTAGCAATTGCAACGAAACCTTCCTCAGAAATTCAAGACGCGTAGCAATTTGCAACAAAAGCTTCCTCACAAATTCAATACTCGTAGCAATCGCAACAGAATATTCTCAGAAAATCTTCCTCAGAAACTCAAGACTAGTAGCATTCACAGCGAAAACTTCCTCAGAAATTTCAGCCGAGTTTCAATTGCAACGAAACCTTCCTCAGAAAGTCAAGACATGTAGCAAATTCAACGAAACCTTCCTCTGCAAGAGTATCAATGGCAACGAAACCTTGCTCAGAAATTCAAGACTAGTAGCAATTGCAAGGACGCCTTCCTCTGAAATTGAAAACTAGTAGCAATTGCAGCGAAACTTTCCTCAGAAGCTCAAGCCGAGTAGCAATTGCAACGAAACCTTCCTCAGAATTTCAAGAATTGTAGCAATTGCAAGGAATCCTTCCTCAGAAATTCATTTTGAGTAGCAACTGCAACAAAACCTTACTCAAAAACTCGAGACATGTAGCAATTGCCACGAAACGTTCCTCAGAAATTCAACCCGAGCAGCACTTGCAACGAAATCCTCCCCAGAAACTTGAGCCTAGTAGCATGTTCAGTGAAACTTTCCTTTGAAATTCAAGACACGTAGAAATTTCAACGAAACTTTCCTCAGAAACTCAAGACTAGTAGCATTTGCAGCGAAACCTTCCTCAGAAACTCAAGACGAGTAGCAATTGCAGCGAAACTTTCCTGAGAGATTCAAGACGAGTAGCAATTGCAACGAAACCTTCATCAGAAAATCAAGACATGTAGCAATTGCAACGAAACCTTCCTCAGAAACTCAAGACTACGTTCATTTACAAGAAAACCTTCCTCAGAAGTTCAAGCCGACTCGTGTAGCTAGAGCAAAGAAACCTTCTTCACATCTTCAAGAAATAACAATTGCAACGAAACCTTCCTCACAAATTCAAGACATGTAGCAATGGCAGCAAAACCTTCCTCAGATATGCAAGACACGTAATTAGCAATTGCCACACAAACTTCCTCGGAAACTCCAGACTAGTACCATTTGCAGCGAAAATTTCCTCAGAAATTCAAGACGAGTAGCATTTGCAACCAAACCTTCCTCAGAAATTCAAGACACGTAGCGATTGCAACGAAACCTTCCTGAGAAGCTCAAGACTATCAGCATTTGCAGCAAAACCGTCTTCAGAAATTCAAGACGAGAAGCGATTGCAACAAAGCCTTCCTCAGAAACTCAAGACATGTAGCAATTGCAACGAAACCTTCCTCAGAAATTCAAGCCGAGTACCGATTGCAATGACACCTTCCTCAGAAATTCAACCCGAGTAACGATTGCAACGAAACCTTCCTCAGAAATTCAAGCCGGGTAGCAATTGCAACAAAACCTTCCTCAAAATTTAAGACACGCAGCAATTGCAACGAAACCTTCCTCAGAAACTCAAGACTTGAAGCATTTACAACGAAACCTTTTCAGAAACTCAAGACTAGTGGCATTTACAGTGAAACCTTCCTCAGAAACTCAAGACATGTAGCAATGGCAACGAAACCTTCTTCAGAAGTTCAGGACATGTAGCCATTGCAACGAAACCATCGTGACACTCAAGACTAGTAGCATTTACATCGAAGCCGTCCCCAACAAAAAGCTTCCTCACACGAAGCAAATTGCAACGAAACTATCCACATAAATTCAGCAATTGAAGACATGTAGCACTTGCAACAAAAACTTCCTCAGAAACTCAAGACACGAAGCAATTTGCAACCAAACCTTCCACATAAATTCGGCAATTGAAGACATGTAGCAATTGCAACAAAATCTTCCTCAAAAACTCAAGACATATAGCAATTGCAACGAAACCTTCCGCAGAATTTCAAGAGATGTAGCAATTGCAACGAAACCTTCCTCAGAAACTCAAAACTAGTAGCATTTGCAGCGAAACCTTCCTCACAAATTCAAGACATGTAGCAATTGCAACGAAACCTTCCTCAGGAATTCAACCCGAGTAGCAATTGCAACGACACCTTGCTCAGAAACTCAAGACTAGTAGCATTCACCGCGAAATCGTCCTCAGAAACTTAAGCCGAGTAACACTTGCAATGAAACCTCCCTCAGAAACTCAAGACGAAAAGCATTTACCCAAAACCATCCCTTCAAACTCAAGACTAGTAGCATGTACAACAAAACCTCCCTCAGAACTTCAAGCCAAGCCAGCAATTGCAACAAAGACATTCCTCGGAAACTCAAGACTAGTAGCATTTACAGCGAAACCTTCCTCAGAAATTCAAGCCGAGTAGCAATTGCAACGAAACCTTCCTCAGAACTTCAAGACATGTAGCAATTGCAACGAAACTTTGCTCAGAAACTCAAGACTAGTAGTATTCACAACGAAACTTTCCTCAGAAACTCAAGACATATAGCAATTGCAACGAAACTTTCCTCATAAATTCAAGCTGAGTACCGATTGCAACGACACTTTCCTCAGAAACTCAAGACTAGTAGCATTTACAGCGACACCTTCCTCAGAATCTCAAGATTAGTAGCACTTGCAG